CCCATCCTTGCATGTCTTGATGCCGCAGTTCCGCCCTTGACTTGCAGAATGAGTTGTCCACGGCCTTCTCGGCCCTGTCCTTGAACGGACGTGGGGGCCCTCCTTCCTGGCCGCTCTCCCCGCCTTCCAGGCAGACCTGGGCAAGGAAAAGGCCTTATTGTGCTGAAGCCAGCCAGCCAGGCTAGCTCTGCGGTACAAAAAGGGAGGATTACAGAAGTCATGAAAGTCAGAAGCAAGCAAAGCTGGAATCCTGGCATGAGGGAAATGCCACCAAATTGATTCCAAACCAAACACCCTCTTTTCCTTCCTAACTGGACAGAGCAAACCACACCTTGAAGGTGGGTCCTCCTCTTTGAGGGCTGGTCACTTGGAGCCTTTGAGGCTTCTCAGCTAATCTGTCTTCTTAACCTGATGTCGCAACCTCACATTAGTGACCGTCCCCCTCCCATTAACATGTACACTGATCTTTCCCACAGAACTGTGACCTGGCGACTTCCTGGCTTATGGGAGGATTTGTTGGCCTTGGCGTTTCAGCCGGATTCTGCCCCCCACCCGTCACCTGGCTCAATCTGGTGGGAGGATTTGATAGGAAGAGAGGGCCCAATCCCCACCCCTTCCTTCCTGATTTGTCACATTCTGGCTTTCAGTTTTGTATGTGTAGAAAGGTAGTGATTCTGGACTACCTCAGAGGGGTGTTGTGAGGAGAAATGTGATGGAGACCACGCAGTGCTCAGCCATTAAACCTGCACCTTCCGCATCACTGCAGGAGTTTATTTATTTATTTAAAAAATTTCTATGCTGCCCCATCGCAACAAAGCCTCGGGGCGGCCCGAGTTCCCTGTGTCGCATCCAAGGATCTTCCTTCGTCATTGGCTGAGAGCAGCCCAGTCCACAAAGGGGTCTTTTAACCCCCCCATCCCCAAATCCACATTCAAACCCCAATCAAACCAACTAGATTAAGGTAGAAAAGAAGGACGAAGTGGTCCTAAGATCTCCCTTCCTGTATAATAAGAACAACGACTGGGAAGGTGTGCAAAATTAAACCCGAAATGTCTGAAAATGGGTGTGGCCATGAGGAGAGAGATGTCAGTCAACCCGGACCATGGCACCAAAGAGGCCCAGCGGGGCCCGATCACAGGGGGCACCGCCCTTCGGACCCGCACTCCACCCTCTCCTGCCCCTCCTGGGGTGTCCTGCTCGTATCCCAGGGAATCCCACGGGAGCCCGGAGGTTCCCCTCCCGCTTCGCGGTGGTTGTGGCTGTAGTTGCCGCCAATTTAAATTTACCACTTGCAGGTTTTTTTGCTTTGAAATCACAAGAGCTGCTTTCCCTGCACTTTGCCAAGGCTTCAGAAACAAGCTTCTGAGCCACCAGCTGGTGTGCCGCATCTCCCTGAGGCCCAATATCCAGACGTTTTCTGGGATGGAGTCATCTTTTTTCACAGCCCATCAGGAAATTAGGCCAGGCCTGATCCAGCACCGAGAGGAGCCCAGTACTGAGTCCACTTCTCCACGGAGGCCGCCCTGCTGCGGTTGTCATGCCAGTGCCTACAAGGGAACGTGGCAGACTTTGCTCCAGCCCTCGGGAGGCGGGCCAGCCATTCCCCTCTCTCCCCCCAGACGTTTTGCAGGCTGTTCAGTTCCTCTCCCCTAAACTTTCTCCAGCAAAGTTTGCTGCAAGACCTGCTCTGCTCAGCGGACTGCTCCTGGTGGCAGTTACTGAGCCAGGCGCGTCCTCAACCATTAGAGAACGAGAGTCAGTTGCACATACAAACTCAGCAATTCTTTCATCAGTTGCTTCTTGCTGCCATCTGCTGGTTCTCACCACAAACCCATATGGTGGTGTCTGGAGAACGGAGCGCTTTCCCCATTTTTCTCCGCTTGTGGTTTACTAAGTGTATGTGACACACGCGCGTTCTTAGTGGAAGAAGGTCCCTGTCACTAGCCGATACCTCCGAACCTGTGGAGGACGAGTGTGGTGTTGAAGGTGAACAGGGTGTTGGGAACGGATCCTCAGAAAGGATAAAACACTGCAAGAAGATGCTGTGACCACTGAGAGCTTGCCAGGACCCACGGTATCAAAGGCAACATTGACAGAGGAGGTTTTGCATATTTCAGCCTTTTTAAAATCACAGCCACGTCAGAGCTCTTCCTGTGAGCAACAGCGAGAAAACTGAAGCTGTTGTACTTGGGCACATGAGGAGGTTGGGCTCCCCGGAGGAGACAATCAGACTGGAGAAAATGCAAGACGAAAAGACGGACCAGAGACGAGATGGCGGGGGCCACAGCCTGGCGCATGCAAGGCTGAGCCGGGCTGTGACGGACGGGGCGTTTTGGAGGGCTCTCACTCCCTGAGTTGCCAAAAGTCGGGGATGACTTGACAGCACATCACGCAACCAACAATGTTAGAACTGGTAGCACCTTCAAGTCACAACAGTCTTTTTACTCAGGAGAATTTGAGTCATCCATCCTCTGAGAAGCTGAAGTCAAGATTTTAAGAAGGAAGAAATAAGAAAGCTGCCTAATCCGAGCTTAATCAGCTTTAGAATATTCATAAACAGACCCTGTATTGCTTCTGGCCACCATTCCAGCAAAGGGAAAGGAGATATTCTGCCTCCAGCGGAGGAGACACTGCTTAAAAGGACCCAAGGCCAATTTGCCCATGTCCTTCCCTTCTGGTTGCTGTTGCCCGTGCTTCCCTTTTTGCCCTGGTCTCCTGGCTTCCTCTCCCTGCCCAGATTAATTCTGCCTCGGTGACTCCTGTTCAGTGGGGACTTCCAGGGAGGGGCAAAAGCTCGACTTGGTCTCCGCAGAGGGAGGGTAGCCAGGGCTGCCTCTGGGAAGGATCAGCATCGCCCAAGGAGCCTCTTGAAGGCAATCCCAGAGATTTTCATAGTGTTCCCAGGAACGGCCAACATGATGTCATGCTGAAGGGAGGAAAAGCAGCTCCAGGACTGGAATATTCCAGCCTGAAGGGTGAATCTAGTTTCTGTCCCTGCCAAAAGGAAACTGCAGCCCCTTGGAAACCCATGTTGAAGAATGGGAGGTAAGAAAAAGGGGGGCTCAGGAAAGCAGCCAGAGCAACAGGATCCCCAGGATTTTGTGTGGAGCTGATCTCTCCAGAACACCCTCTCAGAAGCTGCTTTGACTTCTGTGCGGTCATCAGAAACCAAGATGAAACATTAGGGTTCATGTTGCCGGAAATACTTTCTCTATTATGAGTTATATTGTGTGTTTTCTTGAACCAGAAGGTATCAGGGCATGGACTTTGAATCAGCCCTTTACCTGCATGAACATCATTGTTTGAATGCCAGGATTCCCTCAACCTTGCCTTGCAGAGAACTTCCATCTTCTGATGGAAGGAAAGGTGGGCAGGTCTGGGCAGCCTGTGTTGCGCCCTCTGGTGGCCAGTATCGGAACAGCCACCCTAGCATTCGCAGGATGGGTCCCAGGCCCCACAGGAGCTCTCAGGCCCCTGGGGAAGAGCTACGCAAGCGCCAGCCCTCCCTGCAGGGGCTGCCTCGGCAGTGTGGCTCTTCCTGCTGGCTGGGCATTTCTCAGCTCCTGCATCTCGCAAGGTCCTGCCTTGGTTTGGTTCCGCCTTGTGCTGCTCCAGAACTGCTCTGCTCACTTCGCCACCCTGCAGCCTGCCTGGGTCACCCATCTCCTGGCCTGTCCCCACGCTGACCGGCTCCCTGCCACGTTTGCCTTCCCCATTCTGCAGCTTTGGCCTGGTCATGAGCATGCCCTCGTCCACCTCCGACACGCAGCCCTGGTCCCTGACTTCAGCCGTTCTTGACTGCGACTCTGTCCCCTTTCCAGCGAGTGGCCGTGGGGCGAGGTGGGCGACAGTGCACGTGGCGGGTCCAGATGGGCATGGCGGGCCGAATCCAGCCCCCGGGTTGTAGTTCGCGGACCCATGCCCTGGACCTCCACAACCTGGAGCTCGAGGGAGCCATCTTAAGTGAGGGCAGCCTGAATGCTGCATCTGCTCAGGGGGTCCATTTTGAAGTAGGACAGAACTTCAGGTCCTGGACAATGAAGGGATAATGTGCGTTTCCTACTTCCAAGGAGGAGATCTTTTTAGCTATGCAAAAGGCCGCCCCCCCCTTTCTTCAGGATTCCCCAGGGACCTGTGGGAGGCAAGACCCCAAGATTTCGCCTTTTCCACCCCGGCCTACAGGGATCTTCTTGGGCGAGAACTGGGGTGACTGCCATTGATGCCTTTCCTGGAAGCTCCCCCCTCATGCACCCCCCCCCACATGCACCATTTTGGTTTTTCTTTTCCTAGAGTGGGGAAGGAGGAACCAGCAGGATCTCTGGGTCAGGTTTGCCTCAGTGAAAAGAAGCCTGAGTGGCTTGGCACGATCTGACTGGGAGGGGGAGATGGGAGCTGCCCTCTTGCCCTTGTGGGTCGTGGGGCAGGGCCTGCGAGTGTCTGACAGGAAAATCCTGAGGGGGGCACAGCGTCTCCTTCAGGGCAGGGGGTGGGGGCAGGGGGTGCGAGGACGGGCTCCATTTTGCAGGTGCAGCAGTCAGTGGGGCAGAAGGGGGTCATTCAATGCTTTGGTGTCCCTCCAGCTCCCCTGAGGCGGAAATGTCTGCCTGAGCCCCCCTGTGGGGCGTGACACGTGGCTGGGGGGGCATGATGGAAGTCATGGGGGCAGAGTCCACGGGACTCTGGGGGCTTGGAGGAGGAGGAGGAAGGGCCATCTGGGTCAAGGAGGGGGAGGGAAGCGAGGACAGGCCTTTGGGTGCCTCAGGATTTTAGGATCAGTCACAGCTTCAGTGCTCGGGGGGCAGCAGGAGGCATGTGGGGCGGGGGCAGCCCAAGTTTCAATGTGGGGTCTCACATCCTCACCCAGGCACAGTCTCCACCTCCCCTGTGGGGGAAATAAGTATAATATTTTCTATGTCCCGCCTGTTCCCAGAGAGTGGGACTCCGCCAGGGCTTCACTTGCGGCCCGTGGGGCTCCCCGCCTGACTCGTCTTCTCTTCCAGGGCTCCACACCCTGCAGTTGATGTACGGCTGTGAGCTGAGGAGCGATGGGAGCAAAGGAGGGTATGAGCAGTTCGGCTACGACGGATGGGACTACATCAGCTTCGACAAGGAGACCCGCACCTGGACGGCGGCCGATGCCACAGCCCAGATCACCAAGCGGAAGTGGGAGGCCGAACCCGCCATGGCTCAGAGATCCAAGGCCTACCTGGAGGAGACCTGCATTGAGTGGCTGCGGAGATACCTGGGCTATGGCAAGGAGACCCTGCAGCAGAGGAGAGGTGTGTGGGGAGGACGGAGGTGTCTTGGGGGGCAGTCCTTCTGCCTCCCCTGGTTCCTCATTGGACAGAAGAGCAGGAAGTGGGCAGGAGCGTACCACTTCAGCCTGTACTGGGGGGAGTGCCGCTTCTCCCCCTTTTTAATTTTTTTTAAATACAGAAAAGAAAATAAATACAAATGCAAACATCATAATATTAATAATATGACACATGACAACCAACTAATGAATAAAAAAAGAAATACTACAGTGCCCCCACGACCCAGGAGACCAGTAGTACCTGTATTTTACTTCACATTAATTGTAGCAATAATTTTATTTATTTATTTATTTATTTATTTATTTATTTATTTATTTATTTATTTGGAGTGCTTGTATGCCGCCCCATTCGCAAGAGCCTTGGGGCGGCTTCCAACAAAGAAATAACAATATACAGAAATATACAGAATTTGGAAATATACTGGGATAAGATAAAAGGAATAAATAATTTAACAATCCATTAAAATAACATTTAAATAAAAAGGGCCTAGCGCCGAAAATCAAATACTGACTGCGCCTGGCGGACCTCTCTGGGGAGCGCATTCCACAGATGGGGCGCCACCGCTGAGAAGGCCCTCCTCCGGGCACTCACCCACCTAAGTTCCTTCACGGAGGGCTCCCGGAGAAGGGCCTCTGCCGCTGATCTTAGAGGGCGGGAGGGCACGTATGGACGCAGGCGCTCCTTCAGATCCCCAGGTCCCAATAATATATAGTACAATTATGTCCATATCCCCTCCAAAAATTCACATAATCCTGATTAGGCTTACAACCTTTACCTTCTATCAATGCTTTTACAAAATCTTCCCAAATTTCATTATATTTATTTGCTTTTATTAACCCTTCGTGATTTTTTTATTTCCGTTGTCAGTTTGTCATTAATGATCATATTCCATATTTCATTATACCATTCATGCCTTTGCATAACCCAATTCTGTTTCCAACATTTAACTATCACTAATCTAGCTGCCATTATCAAACTTAGGATCAGTTCTTACTTCATTTCATTTATATCTTGTTTTTCAAACAACAGCAGTAACACAACTCTCGGTGACATTTCTAAATCTATGTCTAATATTTCTCTAATTTTGTTAAATACTATAATCCATATCTTTTGTATATTATCACAATCCCACCACATATGTTTATAAGTTCCAATCCCTTTCCCACATCTCCAACATATATTATTGATCATCAATTTGATTTAACTTAACTGGTGTTAAATACCATCTCCATATCACTTTATATCCATGTTCTTTAATTCTTATATACTCTTCTATTCCAAATATTCTTCCAATCCTTGTCTTCACCTACGTCCATTGGCCAAATTGATTTTAAACTTTTTGTCTGATCCCCTAACTCCATTAATATCCTGTAGATTTTGGCAGTTATTCCTTTACTTGTATATTCTTCCTCAATCTCGTATTCTTTCATAATCATTTCAACTTTTGTTAATTGTCTTTTTTCCTCTTTGAATTTACCCTCCCTCTGTATCCATTTTTCTAATTGAATTAGATTTAACCAGTTTAATTTGGCCTCTGTCAATATAGTCCTTAATTGTGCTATAATTTTTATCTTATTTTTCCAGTCTTCCCTTTTGTATATATGATTATTTTTAATTTATTAATCCAGTCCTTTGATTCTGTTTTTGGAAATTTCTCCATTTCAACCACTGCTGTTAACGGAGAAATTCCCGGGATTAACTGTTGTCTCCATTTTTCCCATACTTCCATTGTATTTTTTTAAAGAGGGATTTTGTATTCTCTTAATAATCTTTTTAATATGCTTTTTAAGCCAGTGTATCTCTAAGTGATCACCTATTTCCCTTAATTCTCTTAATTCAATATCACTCCATATTAGTTCTTTGCTTTGGGCTATAATATCTGGAACTATCTTTAATTGGGTTGCAACCCAATACTTTTAACATCTGGAATACCCAGCCCTCCTTTTTTT